TGTTTGGGAAGACTGGAGAAAGTGGTTTCCCACCTGGCCTCTACACGTGCAATCTCAAGTCAGTATAGTAACCTGTCCATGGGTTCCACTGTTTTCTGTTCTCTTGATAGTAGGAGAAACTCAACATGCTAACATGTGACAACACTGATTTTCCCTGTGGGGTTTTGAAAGTCTCTGCTTCACTAGCTCTTCTAAGAATCTGCCAATTCCTAGGTGTCGGCCTTGATCTCTGATTCAGTTCTTCATGTGTCTCCTCAACCCTCAGGGGAAGATGCCTCATGCCAGTTTTCTCTTGGGGTCTAACTAGTACCTCAGACTTCATTTCATAGAGTTATGCATTACTTTTAGAAGCTCAGAGGAAGCAAATGACTTGGAATTAGAATTAGACGTATATTTATTTTTTGATGTAAAGCAAATTATAATATTAATGTAATGAAAAATAAAAATTAAAATTGGGAAACCATGGGATGTGAATAGAAAGCCAAATTAATCTAATTGACAAGAAATCCAGAAACAGGCAAAATTCATAAGAGAATTTAAATGATACTTCAAAGCAGTGGGAATTCTATGCAAAAAAAAAATAGTTGGACACACAATGACACCTCATGTCATAATAACTAAATATTTAAATATAAAAATATGAACCTTACAAAAGTGATAGTAGAAAATTTGGGAGAATTATATAAATCGTTAGGACAAAGAAAGCTTTTCTATGTGTAATATAATGTTCAAGGCCATAAAAGTAAATAGTGATAAGTCTGAGTAGATTTTTAATAAAACACCTGTAAGGCAAAAACATCACCATCATTCAAGTCTAATATATAAAGAGCTTCCACATATCAGTAGGAAGAAACACTCACAGTCTAAATAATAAATGGGCCATGGATATGAATGACAGCTCCCATTGTAAGCACCACAAATAAAACTTAAAAGATGAAATATGATCAAACTAACTCTAATAAAACAAATTTATATTAAATTATAACAAATATAATTTTTACCTATGACTGTCAAGGACTTTTAAAAGTTTGCTAATTTCCATTTTGGCCATTTTATGTTGCAGAGTCATTCTCAACACTTCTGATGGATTTCTAATTGTGAGATACCAATAGACACGAAACTAGGATTTATTCAACTGTGCACTTTCAATGTTCAAACCATTTCAGAACATAAGCTTAATTTATGCTTAAATAATGAACAAAGGTAGCTAGATATTATCTTGGTGAGAATGTTTACTACACTGTATTTACTAAGGTAGAAACTATTCCAATACATTTACAGAAAATTAATAAATAAATGAAATAAGTTCTATGCCAATTAACTCTCAATCAAAAATTTAATTAATTATAAACAGCTATTCCGGAGTATTCCAGTTAATCAGGGTATTCCAGTTAATCAAGACTCTACTGAAGAGATTTTTTTTCCTCCAATGGAGGCATTTTCTTTTGCTAGCAATGTATTTTCAAACTTGTATATAGTAGTCATAACCATGAGCAAGACATACCAATTAACAAGCTCAAATAGCACAGTATCTACAAATTTATTGCCAACACTTGTTATTTACTTACTTTAAGAAAATTGTCTCTTTCCATGACCATCATTAAAATTCCAGTAAATTAAACCAATATATCTAAAATTCACAAGTATTTAAAAATTCTGTATCTTGACATTTCCATATAACATAATTTCAGTCAAAAGTACTGCACATTACTATATATAAAGTCTTGTTGAAAAATAATTTTTATGAGATGATTATTTATTTAATCATAATAATATTAATAATTATTATTAAAAAATAAGTACAAACTTATATTCTTGCCTTAACAAGTGGTCGTACTTCAGGATTAAAAAAAAAAATTTTAAAAAAGTATCTTACTTTTCAAATATTTTTCTTTGCTCTGGACATTAGTTTCAATTAAAACTGTGAATATATATTTCAAAAACACAGGGCCAGACATGGTGGCATATGCCTGTAATCCTAGCACTGGGATACTGAGGGAGGAGGATCCCTTGAGCTAAGGAGTTCAAGACCAGCCTGAGCATGAGACCCCATCTCTACTAAATATAGAAAAATTAGCCAGGCATGGTGGTGTGTGCCTATAGTTTCAGCTGTTTGGGAGGTGAGGCAGGAGGATTGCTTGAGGCCAGGGGTTTGAGGTTGCTGTGAGCTATGATGACACCACTGCACTCTAGCCAGGGAAACAGAGTGAGACTATCTCCAAAAAATAAAAATTTAATAAAATTTAAAAATTTTAAAAGCACAGTAAGTACAGATTGTGAATTTCTGTAATTTTAGTATACTTATAAAATATCATTTTAATGTAAAGCCCAATATTGGATTAAATATGTATTATATACATATGTATATTAAAATTATTGGAATAATCCTGGGCATTTAGATATAATTAAAAATCAGTTGAAGGAATAATAGACTAGTCTCTCCCTCTCTCTTTCTATTTCACTGAAAGTAAAAATAACCATAGTGATATGCGGGCATTTATTGTATAGTAGATATGCTCTTATTTGTGAAAAAGACAGTGAGGGAATATATGGTGTATTAAGATCTCTTTCAAAATATTATAATAGTAATAACAGAAAAGGAATGAATGAGTCTTCTGTCTTAACATATCCATTTGATAGGAAAACACCTGCATTAAATGCAAAGCACTTCTGTCATTGATATGCTTATCATTTTCTCCTGAATGACCTTGAAGCTTAATGAAATTCACATGAAAGATTTTACTATGCGTGTTTAAAGAAAGCAGTTAAAAAGATTCAGATAGCTTTATAAAATTGAATTTCATTTTATTAAAAAATTCCTCTGTTCTCATCTATTGAGAAAGTAAACTGCTCCCATTCAAAGCAGTTTATAAGCAACTTTCATGGTTGATCTTTGTTGTCACATGGTAGTCTTCCCTAGATTGACAAGTGGTGCAATGGCCTTTGAGGACTGATTTCTAAGGATGTTAAGAGCATGAACTTTATTCTTTTTAAATACTTTCTTAAATACAAGCTTCAAAACAAAGTCAACCATTGATCCAATCATTTAAGAAAGAAGGTCTCAGTGTTTGACAATGGGAAACACTACAAAGAACATTAATCTAGTTTACTGTTTTCATTTGACAAAAGGAGAGGTACACAGTTATAGAACAATAAGAAATGTGTACACTCTGTTCAGCAAGGTAAATCTATGAATGGTCACTAGTAGTTAAAGGAATCTTTAGAGTGCCATATACAGACATGTAGAAAATCTAAATGACATCTATTAAATGACATCTATTAATTGCAATCTTTCTATCAGCTTTCAGAACATTTACAGACTTCTTAATTTGTAATTTCTCTATAGTATAAAAACATAATTTATTTGGGTTTGTAAAAGCTCTAGCACAGCATAAAGCTATTAAATGTATACAAAATAGGTTTTCACTGACTTTGCAGCCTACTCTCCCCACCCTGCTCTAGCTCAGGCAAACTCTTCTGTGGCACTATTTCTAGTTCTGATTCTCATCAAGAAATAAGACCATTTTCTATCAAAGAAGAATGATCATATTTATACAGGAAAAAAGAGTCACAAGCATAAACCTGAGTTTAATTCTTTATCCTTTCCTGAAAATACAGAAAATGCAAATAAAGAGAATTGTGAACTTACATTAATCAGGTACTATTTATTGCACAATGCAACATCTCTAGAATCTTTTTATATGATTTATCTACTTGTGATAATAGAAGTGTTTGCATCCATAGAGCTTCTTATGTTTCATAATGCATAGTGTAGAATATGCACATAGCATTGCTGTGCCTAGCCATATTTGAGCCTGAGGCAAAGAAAAAATAAGTAATACTAACTTGTCTGTGCTTAAAATTTGGATAATTTGTTCATTATGTTTTTTTTAATTAATTCTTTACAAAATATGTTAATTATTAATATATTAATTAACACATTAACTACCATGTAAGTTGTATTTAACTCACACTAGTTTTGAGCCCAGGACCTTCTGAAGCATATATAACGTCATGCAGTTGGTTTGCAAAATATTACTTGTTGATGTTCTTATTGTTACAATTAATATTGACAAATTAATTCTAAAAATGTGGATTAATTCAAGTAAATACAAGTCAATAAATTTTGTTTTTCATTAAATTAGAAACGATCATTTTGTTTTTGAAGTTTTTAATCTATTTTTGTAAGAAAACACTGTGGCCCCAAGTAAAAAAATAATTTTCTATTATGGCAGTTGATGTGTTAAAAATATTTTTCATTTAAAAGAAAAAATAGACAAATTAGATTACATCAAAATTAACTTTTATACATCAAAGAATACTAATAATAGAGTGAAACAGCAATCACTGAAAGGGAGAAAATACTTGCTAATCACATTTCTTATAAGAGATTAATATCTAGAATATAAAGCAATTCCTAGATCTCAAAAAAAACAATACACAATTAAACTCAAAAAAATGAGCCAAGGTCTTAAATAGACATTTCTCCAAAGAGGACACACAAATGGCCAATAAGCATATGAAAAGATGCTCAACATTACTAATCATTAGGAAAATGAAAATATTATCCAGACAAAACAAAACAAAACAGAAATAGTAAGCGCTGCCAAGAAAGTGGAGAAACTGGAACTGCTGGTGCGGATGTAAAATGGTGCAGCTTCTATAGAAAACAGTATGGTTTTATCTCAAAAGTGAAAGAAAATTTCCATCTGATTCAACAATTTCACTTTGGGTTTATGCCCCAAAAACTGAAAGCAGGGACTTGAACAGATATTTGCACACTCATGTTGCAGCAGTATTCACAATAGCCAAAAGGTGGAATCAACACAAGTAACCACTTATGGATGAAAGTGTAAACAAAATGTGGTATATACATACAAAGGAGTATTATTCAGCCTTATAAAAAGGAAATTCTAATGCATGTTATAACAAAACGAAGACATTTCGTTAAGTGAAATAAGCCAGTCACAAAATGACAAATGCTATATGACTATACTTACATGAATTTCCTAGGGTAGTCAAATTCATATATACAATGGAATGGTGGTTGCTGGGGGCTAGGAGAAAAATGAATGGGGCCAAGTTGTTTAATGGATACCAAGTTTCAGTTTTGGAAGATGAAAATATCCAGAGATAAATGGTTGTTAACAGTTACACAGTAACATGAATGTACTTAATGCCACTGAAATGTATAGTCAAAACTAATAAAATAAAATTTATGTTATCTTTTACTATAACTTAAAAAATATTGCATTTAAATATTGCCTACCTCAATTATTGGTTCTACCCCTTCTTCAAATCACTTATAGTTTGTACATCACAAGAGTGTTTTACTCACCTCACCCTTGTCCTGGCCCTTGATAATTTCAGTGTTTTTATTCATAGATACTATAGTCTGAATGTTTGTGTACCCTCCAAATTCATATGTTGAAACCTAGTCCCCTGTGTCAGAGTATTAAGAGGTGGGATCTTTAGAAGGTGATTAGGTTATGAGGACTGAGTCCTTATGAATGGGATTAGTACCTTTAGAGAAGAGGCCTAGAGAGCCTCTTTGGCCCTTCTACCCTGGGGGACAAATGAGAAAGTGCTTTCTATGAGGAATTAGCCCCACCAGACACTGCATCAGCCAGCACCTTGATCTTGGACTTCTCAGCCTCATGAACTGTGAGAAATAAACATCTGTTGTCTATAAGCCACCCAGTTTATGGTATTTTTGTTATAGCAGCCTGAGTGTACTAAGACAATACAGTATAGTATTAATATAAGATGAAAGGTTCTTATTTGCTCCCTATACTCTTTCCCCTACTCTCAAACTTTTATGCTTCGTTCTTTTGTAAAATAGGTTAAAATGTACTTCAGTTACTAGTTGAAAACTCTTTATGTTGGGCTCTAGGTAATAAGTATCCACTGAGATGTTGCAATTCTTTATAGAGTTTGATTTCTCTCATGTCTCATCCAAAATTATTTTAGTAGGAATAAATGTTTAAATAATATTTGAAGAGGTTATCCCAAATGCTTTGAGAAACTTCACGTTTTGAAAAGACATTGGTCAGCTCCTGGCTTGGTTAACGTTAGTACGTTTGATCCCTCTATCAACAAAGGAGAACATTTTGAAACTGGCTCTACTTTTTTACTAAATAAACTAAAATATCATCGCATATAAGAGAGAAATAATATTTAAATAACATTTTGATAAGTATAGTCTTTAACATGCATGTGAGGGACTCCATATCAAAAGAGAAGATGGAAATTAAATAAATTTTCAAAGTTTACAAATTGGATATGAGAGTACAGGATTTTTTAGGTGTCCTCAGTGAAAACAATACTACTAATCTCTGAAGTGTAAAATCAAGAATATCTCCAATGACTTAAATTCAGGTTTTTACTTCTGTTTAGTGCCAAATTATTCACAACTACAACACTCATACTAAAGAAAATTTTAAAATGCAGATATCAAATGACAAGTGGCAATTTAGAGCACAAAGTTTCTCTTCTGACTGGGTCTACAGATCTTTGCAAAATATCAGAGGTTTTCATAAAAAGGTGAAAAAGAATGAACTTGGATAAAATTAAACAGTTGGTCTTTTTTTTACCCTCTCATATCCCAGTTGTCCAGGGCCCTCCTGAATTATCTCTATTTTTTCTTTCATATACATTTAATGAGTGTGTACTTGTGGCAACTACTGTGTGTCAGGCACTACACTAAATATTGAAGACACAATGAAAATTCCCCACATGGAATTTGTATTCTAGTGCTGGAGAAAATATATATCTCAAATACAGCATATCAGATATATGAAATTACAAGTTGTCCTGTATATTTTACTGGAAAAGTATAGGGAGTCATAAGAACAAATAAAGGGGCTCAGAACCAATCAAGGGAGTGCTTGTTATCTTAGCAAATGACTTTGTGTCCAGCTTGAAAATGAGTAAGAGTTAACTTAGGTGGGCAGTCTAAACAGAGGGAACAACATTTGTAAGGGTCTTGAAGAGGAACAAGGAAACTCAATTATAAAGAATCAAATGAGGCCATTGTGTGCCATAGGACGAAAGGAAGGAAGAGATTAGTGAAGATGAAGCTGCACACTGACCTCTAAGGATGACTATATTCAAGACCTCATATTCAAAGGCTTAAGTACAGTCACACTTGGCATACAGACTCTATTTGTCTTCACACAGATAAAGAGAAATGGCACTGGTCCCTCTGGCAAATTAACTTTCTCATTTCTTAAGGTTAGAATTTCTCTAACCTTAAGTTTCCTAACAGCTAAATCTACTGCCCTTCTTTTTCTCCTCCTTGAGAAACCACTGAAGAGCTTGTCCAAAGGCTTCCTAATCATTGTTCCAATGTCTTCAATGTACATATTGAATATGTCATGGGTAGGAAAAAAGGCTAAGATTGGGATGGTGGTGGAGGGTACATGGGGAAGAGGAGCCTTTCTTCTCAACTCTAACAGATGAAGTGAGCATAAGAGAGTTGGATAAAGAATCTTTGCTTTGTAATGTTCAAGTATGTGTCAAAGAAGAGTATATATTATGTTAGAGATTTTTTAAAAAATTAACTGTAGTGATAAATCCTAAAGACTGAGAAGCAAGAGGTGAAACATTTCACATATTAGGAATACACTTTTAACTGATTTTTTGGTAGTCATTTTCTAAAGTGTAAATGGTTCAGTATTAGCCTTAAGTACTCAAAATCACAATACTTAATTTTACAACTGGGGTCAAAATAATTTTTTTTAATATTTGAGATTCAGTTTTTATCTCTTAACCTAGATAATTACATACCACAGTACCTTAGGCTAGATGTTGATAATATGTATGTATGTATGTACATACCACATGTACACACATACACAAATAAAGAGATCTCTGGTTGCAAATTACAAGTCAGGACTCTGGACAAGGAGTTTGTGTGAATTGCCAATGGGCATCCACAGATTTAAAATAAATGGATTAAATTTTTTGTACCAAACAAAATCATGACTCAGTATATCTTTTATGAAAAAGGTGAGAAGAGTGAATTTCTTGATTGTGGAGGTGAGGATTATTGGTCTGGTTTCACTCTTTTGTTTTACTTAGTTCTATTAGGGATGGCACAAACAACTCAGCCCCTTAGGCAAATTTTCATAAGTAAAGATCTTAAGCAGGGTTTTAAGAAGGAGTTTCCTGACCATTGTTGATATTCAGGGAAAGAAATAAAGGAAAGGAAAGGAATTCTCATACCTTTCTTCCTCTCTCTGTTTCCCATCTTCTTATCATGCTACCCTCTACTACCAGGGTGCCTTCCTGCTCCCAGGTGCAGATCTTCCATTTTCTTCACCCCCTTTGCCCCTTTGCATCCTTTCTATCTCCTTTTAGTTTCCTTGCCTATAATAAGAAATTAATATTTTTAAATACATTTAACCAATTAAGTGCAGTTATATATTTTTAAATCTACATGCAGATTTTTTAAATATTCCTATAACTTCTTAAAATACTAAATGATCCTTTAATATATATGCAATTTTTCATAACATTTTCCCTCTGATTCAGTGACTCTTAACAAATAAAAAGGTTGATCATCTCCTTTATATATTTGTAATTTTAATTCACCCCATACTTATTTTTAAATTTCTGTAAATCTGAGGCCTCAGGCTATGGGTATCACCTAAACACAATCATTGAAGTATGATGTTTATAGATAATAGACATTTTAAAATATTCAGTTCTTTACTATAATGGTTAAATTAATTCATGAATTAATCCTTTTACCTTCTAATATTTTGGACTGTGATGTTTGCTGCATTCACAGTCAATATAATTCTCAGATCCAAATGTGTGTTTTCCTTACTAGAGTGAATACAGCCATCATAATGTGGGCAGCATCACCCCATGAACACTGGTACCTCTGGACATTGGAGAGTAGAAGCATCATGGGGACATGAATGTGAAGAAGGGGACAGGGAGCACAAGGAAAACAACTGAACTCTCTCAGAGAAATTCTGGAAAAGAATGTTATTCCAATTGTTGTCCAAACTATGGGGAAATTCCAGACACACATTTAGAAAAAGCTGTATACAAAGCACAGGGGACGTTACCAATATCAGATAGGTGTTCCTCCAACGTGAGCAGCTGGCTACCTCTGGTGTTGGGGAGAATTCAGGGGAAAGACATATGCTTTCAGAATTCTGGGTTTAACATTGCATATGGGTCTTTCAGAGCTTTGGAGTAAAGCTCTCTCTATCTCACTGGCACGGACGCCATCAGAAACTGGCACGTCCTCGTGTCCACCACTGAGCTGACCAATGAGGCACTTTCCTGCCTTTTGAAGGTTTTCTCTGGTTATAGCTTCCATTCATTAGGAGGTAGTCTTAAATTCAATTATTGGTGGCCTCTTATTTCAGTAATAAGCTGGTGCTTCATGAGCACAGGAGTAGTTAAAGGTCAGGCATGGGCATTTCCCTTTTACCTTCTTTGAAAATTGTAAATGAACTATACGCTGGCACGGGAGAACAACTGTAACATGCTATAAACATTTTTTTTTTCCATCTTCTCTCCCATTTCTGACCTCACCTGTTCCCTAGCTGACCTCTGGGGGGCTTACTCAGGATGTCAATGAAAATGTAAAGTATGTAAAAAATTAGCTCTTTGAGGAGTATTTCTACACTTACCAAGAGATTTTGGAGAAAAGATTGAAAATACTAAGGAATGAATATATTATGGATAGATTTCACAGACACTGAAAGGCATTCTTGGACGGAAAAAAAAGTATATATATACGTGTGTGTGTGTGTGTGTGTGTGTGTGTGTGTGTGTGTATACATATACACATATTAAAAGATAATGGTAAGACTTCTAGTGTCACAGTGTTTTTATATCTGGAGACCTTGTAAGATATAGTCCGAGACCGTTAGGACTTTGGAGGGCAAAATGCTAAGGAACGGAACCCTGTTTCCAAATCCAAAGGGTGAGATTTTCATTCCAGCCTTTGAGATGGCGCTTAGTTTACTGGCTGTATTTATTGAAATCCTTTCTAGAATTACTTTCTTTTAATTTTTTTTTCCCTTTTCTGAGACTGAAATCACGAATCTCTGAAAGTAAATATCAAACTAAAGCAAAAATCAAAAAAGAAAAAAACAAAACAAAACCCAAAACAAAACCGGTTTACCTAACGGGAAGGCTGGAGGGGGTTTGCGTAGGAGAAGCCGCTCCCAAGTGGGGTCAGGCAGATGCGCGAGGAAGAGCGAGTTCCTCGCGTGGGAACTGGGCTCCTTCCAGCCCAGCTCTCGGTTGAGGGGGATGGGGAGGGCTGCCGGCTGTAAGGTCATCTCTCCCGCAGGGTTGGGAGCCGGGTAAACTGTGACTGAAAGAAAGGCTGTGGCACCAGCGGTCAGTTGCCATCCGCGAGCTCATTTTGGGGGCGAATGGTAGCGGCAAAGACGCCGCCGCTCCGGCTCTCACAGGTCCCCTGGTACCGCAGGCGTCCTAACCTGCGCCCCAGGCTGTGGTCCGCAGACAACAACTTCATCTCCCAGCGGGCGAAGCCCGCCCAGCCCTGGCGGCGGCGGTGGGTGCCGCGCCCGGGTGGACTGCACCTTTCCCAAGGGTCGGGGGAGAGGCAGAGTGGAGAGGAGAAGCAGCCTAACTGCGTGGCACTCAAACCACCATTCACAAATGCAAACCCGCGTCCTCCGTGGCTGAACGGTGGCGGCGCGCAGCCCAGCGTCCCTGAGGGGTTGCGGAGAGCACCGGGCAGAGCAGGAAAGGAAGCCGGGTGGCGGCGGGGAAGGAGGGCACTGAGCCTTCCCGCCGGCCGCCCCTCACGCAGTTGCTGGGCCGCGGCGCGGGATTCGCCCGGCTTTCTCCTCACAGCGGCCGGCAGGCTGTGCGCAGCACCGCGCGCCAAGAGCCCTGAGCGTCCTCCGCTGTCTCCCGCGGACTCCCACACCTTAGCGAAGGCTGCCAGCCCCCGCGTCCCCTCCCGCCACGCCCCGCCCTGCCTTAGGGCCCCCTTCCCGCGGCCCCGCGCCCCCGCGCCCCCGCCCGCTGCGCCCCCGCTGGGGCCAGCCGCGCGCAAACCCCTCCACGCCGTAGCCGGAGCGCCAGCCTCGGCCGGCCTGTCAGACTCGCGGGTGGAGGAGGGGGCCGGGAGGGGGATGAGCGGGGAGGAGGGCTGGAGCCGGGAGGAGGAAATAAATAAATAAAACAATAACCTCCGCGCCAATAAGAGCGAGGGAGAGAGAGAGCCGCGGCCAGAGAGCCTCCCGTGCCTGTTCCCTCGCCTCTGAGAGGCTCTCGGTGCGCGCGCGCGCGCGTGTGTGTGCGTGAGTGTGTATTCGCTGGGACTGGAGCTGGAAAGTTCAAACTAAACGTGTTGCTCTCGCCGGTTGCCGAGGCCGCGGCGGAGGCTGCCCAACTTCTCTGGGCCAAGTGACTGGCGCTGCCCAGCGCCCTTGGCGAGGCAGCGGCCGCTGGGCCCTGCGCCCAGGCGCGGCGGCGGCGGCGGCGGCTCCGCTCACCCCGGGAGGGAGCCCGCGGCCAAGGCTGGACTCTCGCCCCGCCACCTCTACGACTGCCTCCTCAGCCTCTGCGCCTGGCAACCGCCGAACAGGTACGTGGCACTTCCCTTCACGCCTTCTCCCCTAGCACACGCCGCGTGTATCTGTGGCTGCTTCGCTCCTTCCCTTTCCTCGGAGGGGTCATCGTTTGTCAAACTTTACCTCAGCCTCGCGCCCGCCGCGGCCGCCGTCTCTGGCAGCGTGGGCTCGTTCCGCTGAGGAGAACCGCGCGCGGGGGGAGGGTCCGCGGGAAGCGGCGGTTCCCGTCAGGATTAAGGTCGTGCTTCCGAATCCCTCACTCGCAGGTCTTACCTTCCGGGGTGCCCTTTATTATGCTCCCTGTGACGCTCGTGATGGCTTTCCGTGGTCCTTCCGCACGGAAGGACGTCCAAGTTTGCAGAAATATGGCACAAGGAGAGCAGGGGAAGTTTGCAGCCACTTGACTGGAGAGAGGAGTAACCCTTTCTTTGCAGTAGCGGCTCTGATTTAGAAGCAGCGGCGGCGGCGGTGACAGCGGTGACAGCGGCCTGGCCGGTGGCGGCAGCTGCACGTTGTCCCGTCTGTGACTGGGAGACGGAAGAAAAGTGGGGTTGCCGCCTCCGAGAGCGCAACTCGGGAGCTGCCACGGAGACGCTGCGTGAGGGGAAAAAGCTCAGGGCTCCCTGGTCCTTGGTAAATCGTGTTTGGAGACGAATGGGTTTCCTTTTGTGGTATTTATGTGCTTCCTGACAGGCATGCTTAAAAAAAATCTCTTTGGAACTTTCAAAGCGCATCGTTTCCATTTCCAGATTAGGTGGACGGCTATAGGACCTCTCAGATAAATGCCCAAGTCAGTATGGCGGGAGCAGTGTGGAAAACTGCAGTGAACAGCCTAGTCCCGTCTTGTTTGCGATACATCGCCTCCTGTGAAACATTTTTTTCTGTGCCTTCGTATTTTAGTGACGATTTGGGGTTCCTTATTATTATTATTTTTTAAGTGAAGTAGGACTTCTTGGTGAAACGAAAATTAAACAGCCACAGTTAAGTTTCTCAGGCAGCGTGCTTGAGCCTTTTGAAGCCACCTGCTGAATTAGTTCATGTTACTTTTCAGAGGTTACCACTTGGTGTAGGAGACGTAGGCATATCCAGCAGATGGAGCAGTGAAAACTGTACTGGAACCTGCATAACCCTCGTTTATACCGATTTAATCACGGTGATGCCAAAAATGTGTATAGAGCTCACTTTAGGAAAGACACTGGATTTTTCTGTCATGTTTGGGTAAAAAAAAAAAAAATGTCACCTGAAATATGATTAGAGTAGATCTGTAGGAACTTCAAATCTTTAAGTATTTTCTCCTTTCATAAAACATTTAAAAATAGTTCCTTATACATATCACAACATGTAATATTCATTCTTGTCAGAAATATCAACTGGTCCTGTTACATTTTGTGGTGATTCACAAAGCCATGGAAAAGAATGCATTCTGCCATAATAAAAGTCTGATTATTGTGTTACAGTTTAAAAAGCTATATGAACTTGTATTTAAAAGTAAGAAAACATCCGTTTGGATAGAGTTTTAGTATTTTGAATGCAACTGAATGTGCATTTTGCAAAGTTAAAAGAGGTAAATAGACTTATTTCTTAAAGTAATTTACTCTGCTGCAGCTGATATTGAAGGAGAAAAGTTAATAAAACTTTGCTGTAATTCTGGTGAATTGATGCTCCTCCTTCCCAAGAATTACATGAAATTTATATCTGGTGTGACCCAGGCAACATTCATCGTACCTTAAGATACAAAGATAAAAATCTTGAAAATCTACCTTTTTACACTGATACATTATGGTAACAATAATAGCATGGGGAGATAATCTACTTTCCTACATAAATTTAAAAACTTTACAAGCTATCATGCATCTGACAAAAATAGCCTTAAAGTGAACAGAGAAAAAAGAGCTGCCCATTTTACAGACAGAGCAACAAAGGCTTAAGCATCTTGAGTACTTTCTTGCACTGTTTCAGGAAAGACCTATCTCTCAACTCTAGTCTGTTCAACTCCCATCTCTTCTTGCTCCTTTCATTGTATTTTTCTGTAGCTTTTACTGCGCCGTAGAACTCAGTTTAACTAGTCTGGAAAAATCCAATTAAGACTTACTTTAATATCATTATTTAGCAATTTAAAAGTTACAGCAGTACACCAAACATTTTAAGGAATTCAGAGACAGAAAAAATGCTATTGAAAAATGTAGTGCCAGCAAACATTTGAATTAAGCATGCTTTACACTGAGGGTACATGTTCTATAAAATATATGTGACTGTTTTCTAAATCATCAGATAATCCCTGTAGCAAAGTACTTAATTGCGTAATCTGAAACTATATATATATATATATATATATATATTTACATTCACATAATATCAAGGAAGGCTTGGAACTCCCAGTGTTATAACATAGTATAACTACCTTTCTTAAGGAACTGATTTTATCCTGCCTGTTGCCTCACAGATTAAATGATTATGGATTTTTCTGAATTTATTGTGTTCTAAATTTATGCCTCTTCACACAGGTAAGAACAAAAAGGTTTCAATGTAAGATGCTGAAAGTTTTATTCCATATTTAAATGTTTAAAAATATGAAAACCAGACATTTACTAATTTATTATCACTTATTATACATGTTAAATTCATCAAATATGATAGTTTATTGACAATTTAAAAATCACCTAATAACAGCAGTGTTGATTAAGTAAAATAGGTTAAAAGTGAGTATATTTTGGTCATTGCTTCTGTGATACATACCTTCAAAGAAAAACAAGTGCATATATATATATTTTTCTGTAAATTCAGTATAAATGAAATATTGATAAACAGTATAATTTTGATATAACATTGATTTATGTATATGTTTGGGCATAATATTTTGAAACTTTAAAAAATAATTGCTCAGTACTCTCTTTATACAGTACTGAGCTTCTTCAGTTAAGTTTATTTGACTGACAGAATGGCATAACACACTATGGAAGTTGGGTTGAAGTTTATGGAGGGAAACATTAGGTATCTAGAGACATATATACCTGGTCAGTTTGCAGGAGAACTCTTGGTGGTATTGACAGTAGTTATGTGCTTTGGAAAATAGTTTAATAATTAATTTTAAATTCTTATTTTAAAAACAACATGAACAAAAATGGGTATGTGTTAAATCGTCTATCTATATTTAACCTAAATCTCATGATAAGAGTTGAGGCTTGGCAGTGACCAAGTGTTTGTACTTATTATTATAGTGATTTTAATGCACTTTTTGCATTATTTGTATTTTACTTGCATTTCCTCAGTACTTTATTCTGTTATAGCTATATTAGGTAGTTTTTATGCAACACCATAAATTATAGCTTTTGGGTTTAGACTTAAATATATTGCAACTGAATTAAGCTTTTAAAAAGCATATAAGCGGGATTGAGAGATTATGAAGAAGCAGTGAGTTAAGTGTTTTTTACATTAAACTATCTACCAAGAGTTAAAATAGGTTTATCAGTCAGTGAAGATAAAGCAAAAGATGAAACCTTTTATTCCTTAATTTCTATCTTGTTACCTGCTTGTTTCATTTTTCTTGTAATGTGAAGTATGAATGAACATAACTTTTACTTATAATTTATATAGAAAGCATATATATTTGAAGCCTGATTGTTTTTTTGGGAGGCACCATTAGTTCCTAATAATGTAATAAATGCAGTGTAATGTAAAAAAAAATAAGAATTATTCTGGAAGAGTATAGCAGTTAAAATGTATCTTGCAATATAAATCTTAGCAGAAATAATGAGGTTCTCAAGATTTACTCCAAATAATTTTTCCAACTTAGAGAGTACTACTCTAATTTAATCATTATGTGTTAATGATGTATTACGTGCAAATACCTTTACATTTAGGGAATTCTTTTTATTTCAACTAGCACTTCCTTGGATAAAACTCTACAAAGAATAGAACTTAATTATGATGACTATTTTATGACAAATTTGTCTATGATATATATATTCATATATATACATTTCTAATGTGAATACAGTTTTGCTCATACAATATTTAGAGGTAGATTTTATTTTACTGATTATCCCAAATTCTTTTTGAAGTCCTCTAGTCTTCAGATGATTTCCTCTATATGATTGTATAGGGCATTATTAGTTCTGTCATAAGGTTTTAGAGATATTTGGCCATAGAAACCTTATAAGGTAAGCTGCCCTACTATTCACCCAACTGCCATGAAACTTGTGATATTATCTAAGTACAATATATTCTATGATCTGCTTATAATGTTACTTAACTAAAAACACTGGACAAGACAAATATATTTTTTCCTTCCTAGTGGTGAAAAATTATCTTCCATGTTTTAAAGGACCTTTATTTAGAACTTATTACTGAAAAAGGTAGATGGCTCAAAAATTGATATCAACTTAGTGAAAAATTAAGTATTTAGAAGTATCACAGTTACGAATTATTACAATACCATACCTTCTTAATCATTATTTTCAAGAGGCAGAAGATTTGAGAGGATAGAGAATCATAATTAAAGGGTAGAAAACATATCATGAAAGAATTCACTACTTGATAATTAGAGTCTTATTCAACTCTTCATGCTTATTAAAAGTATTATAGTATGTTCAGGAACCTGTTGGCCTTTTACTAACCTTTTGTAATAAATATTGGTCAACATTACTGTATGACAAGGATCTTTGCTGTTAACATCAGATTTAAAATCTTATTATGCAAAATAGACAGTCAGAAAAAAATCACTGCTCTGGGTCTAAAGAATTCACTAAACTAGTGCCCATAAACCCAGAATAGAAAGAGTCCATATGCCATCCTCAGTTGCATGACAGAAGAGGAAGGTGAGTGAAGGAACTTAACACTATAAATGTCTTTTCCCCTATTTGTATCACCAGTTTTCTAAATAAACTTGAGTTTAACATTTTTTTTAAACCTGGACACATTTAATGAGAACTAATCATTGTTACAAATATCAATTCATTAATGGATTATATCAATACTAAATATTTTTGTCTTGTAACTTAATCTGTCATTCATTAAGTGTTAATTAAAGCAGAAAGATTTATTTATATCACCTTTTAAAAAAGTATTTCGGTAGTTATATTTCATCATGCTGATCATCAGCATGGACTGATTTTCAATGGTTAATCTCAAACTAAGAACATCTTGATGTATTTTTTAGGAATTTTATTATTTGGAAGATAAATATTTGTAGGTTTAAGTTGTGATTATATACAAAATGAACAGTAGTATAAATAAACCCATATTCAGTCAATTTGACAACTAGAAATGATAAATGGGCTTTATTTTGTGTGTGTGTGTGTGTGTGTGTGTTTTAAATTTCTGTGTTAATATGTACTATCAGTAAAATAGAATATCCTGAGAGGATAATACTGTCTTGTTGAACATAGATTTAAAGGTTAAACGGTTGTATTATTGAAAAACAAACATGCCAAATTACCTTCAGCATAAGCGTATTTCCTGAAGTATATTTACCTAAATTTAAAAAACATCCACAAAATTGATAAAAATTATTTAAAGCATAAATACCAAATTAAATGCTCAATAAATATTAGGTTCTGCATATCTTTCATCTCTTATCAAATAAAAAATTGGTGCATTGATTTTTTCCTTTAAGAAAAAGTAGGTGCAAGATAATCTAAGAGATTAACAACTAGAAAATATT